TTTTATTCACATGAGATTGAAAAACCATTTCCATATCAAAGGCTGAGCACTTAACCTCATTTTGATAAAGAGCCCCGGGGGGAGCTCGGAAATGGCCTATTGGTTGAAACAAATTTTCAACAAACAGAAGCACCTATACCCAGATCAGGGTAGTAACATTATTTTCTTTAGCATACAATTTCTGCATTCATTTCTCAGATGTCATTTCATGGGGAAACCATTGGTAGCATTGGGAAGTATCCGCTAATAACAGGCTAACAAAACAAATGCTGACCTTAGAATGATAAAAAAGTCATCAACTTTTTTCTTTCAATTTTGATTTTGTTTATATTACCTGTATGAGTACGATGCAATAATCAACGTTGTATAAATTAACCAAAATTATGAAGTGTGAACGGAAAAAATTGGACTGAAGGCAGTCGGTCCACCAAAAATCAGTAAGTTTAAGGCTTGGAGGCAAAATAAAGTGGCTACAACAGCTGAAAGCACAGACATGTACGAACAGCATCTCACCTTGTTTGACTTCTCTGTAATTGTTTCCAAGAATGTTTCGATCAGTGGGAACTTGTTGTGTGTTTTCAAATTGTCTAAGAGTGATGGATGTCCTTTTCTTTTAAAATCCTTCATGAAGCTGAAATACAAAAGACAGGGCATACAGTCATGTACAATGAATGTAGGGCTGTATACAGTAGGTGCCAACTGACTACTGGGTAGTTTAATAGTGGAGTACCATGGGTAATAAAATTTGGTTGATACATGTATCATTCTAATACATGACACAATCGTCCGTCTGCCTGTCCATCCATCTGTCTGACCATATGTCCACCCCTTCATGTTGGCAGATCTGAAATGTCACACCTAATAGCTTGGAGTTAAAGGCATATACAGCAGGGGTTTCATTAAGGTTTTGAACAGGAGGGCAAGTGGGTTTGACACCTTGGGCAAAGAAATTGGCAAGGCTTGGAGGGCCTTGCCCCCCTAGGGGGGCCAGGGGCATGCTCCCCTGGAAAATTTTGAAATTCTACAGTTGTATATTTGTAAAGATGTGGTTTCCTAGATTTTGAACCTGCAGACAATGTCTTTCAACTACCAAAAAAAGATAACTTTTCTACACAATTTAATCATGATTTGATACCAATATCTACCACACAAACTGGTTCTTGTTGAGAGATTTCAGATGGTCTTTTATGGAGGACAGTGCTTTTTGCAATACATTATGGGGCGATTCTTGTTTTTAACACACAACAAAGGCGTGTGATAAAGTGGAAATTTGATGGTAAAGTACGTTTTATGTTCAAGGAGACTCATCAAGAAAAGGGCATGATTGTAACTTAAAACTGTCTATGATTGTTCCTTGTATTAATAAAGGTCCTTTGAGATGTTAAGCAGCCAGGAAAAGTCACGTTTGCAGCTGGTCATTTTGCCTGGTGCCAGGCTCTAAATGAAACCACTGTCTACAATCTGTGTTTAACTCAATATTGGACATTCATGTTATAGTCAATAGCCATCAAAATAGGGTATCCATTGATTTTTGTCACATGACTGTATTGCTGACTCAGGTGCACAACTCATTGAGGTCGCATGTTTTTAAAAGTTTTCTGCTGACAAGTTATTGATTTTAAATTGATCAGAGGCTCAGGCCCATTATTTTTCAGGAGAAATTCAGTTTGCTTCTTGCTAATGGCGAAACTTTAATTATTTTTTCAGAAAGACATTTCTTAAAAGATCCCAAGAGAGCTTCACTTTTGGCCTTGGCTAAATCTATATATTAGTCTTTGGTTTATATACACAAGGCTGCATGTGCTCTAACGAAAATTGAAAGGAGCCCAGTGCTCTGAACCTGTAAAATCTAGGGTGCCCAGCATATGGTTTGTGAGAAAAATCTGAGATTTTCTAGTCGCCCGAGAGCAAAAGTTAGGCGCCAGGGGCCACCTCTGCTAGACCACAGCCCTGATACATTTGTATTCTAAAGAGCTCAAAGCTATGTTATACATGGTATGTGAAATTATGCAGTATTTTGAAGCCAATACATAAGTCAGAGTGTCTGTTTAAATTGCAAAAATAAAATCAAAGCTATAATTCCATCAATCCCATAAAACCTGTCACTGGCACTCTTATTCTATACACTTGCATGGAGAAAGGTACAGTAGAGCCAAGTTTCTTACATATGGAAACAAAAGGCATTGTACAATTATACAAAGCCAAAATTAAAAGCGTTAACTGCTCAGCCACCACGCCCTAGCTTAAATGATATCACTTTGCTAATATGGTTTATACCCAAATTCTGACATATCCGAAAAGGTGCAGTTACTCTACACTGTTACATAACTTACTGGTCTCATCCTTGCAGAGTGCATATTTTTTCAATATCTGATCTTGAAATTCCTTGTCTACTATACCTTGAAAGATTAACAGGGAATGAATCCAACTCTAAAAGGCCCTTCTGATCCAATAACTTAATCATTTCATCCTCTGTTTGAACATCCCTGCTCTTTAAGCGAAAGTACCTCTTCTTCCAAGGAATAAACTGAAAGAGAAAAAGTATATATATATATAAATAAACAAATATGGAAAAATCCTCTTGATAGTATCGTCTGACTGCATATTATGAATACAAGCTGGGTTCTTTTTATCTCCTGGATACCTTGATTCCACAAGATTAAATGATGACTGGCCTACTAATACCACTGAAGTTCCAGTAATTACATACATATGAATTTTAATATTATTAATTAAGGCAATCACAAGATTTCTAGTACCAGTTTTAAAGCTGATAAGGGGGGTAGAGATGGGGGAATGGGGGTTGGGGCGTTGAGAAAATGTCGAAAGGGTGATACTGCAGCTGTTACAAGCCCCGCCACTTGAGGAAACGTACATGTAACATTAAACAAACAAACCAAGTTAACAATGAATCAATGGAACCTTGCCCTTGAGTCATGACACATAAGGGTCCATTGAAAGTAGTGGCTTTGGAGAGCTACAGTAATACTTAGGGCCTGTTTACATGAAGGAGGGGAACCCTAGATAGGTGAGGTAACATGTGTTGCATCACCCCACCTATCATGTAAACATGATCAAATTAAAATGAGAGATTATATGGACAGGCGGGTTACCACACCTACCTGGGGTCCCCACCTCCACGTAAACAGGCCCTAAGGGAAGGCCCCAATGAACTTAATTAAAGCTGATAGATTAACCAGTATTCTAGCATTCTATCGCAAGTACAATTCACTTTAAGATAGTTTTTATCAAGTACTCAATTATGTTAAAGCTGGCTTTTCTGTAATGTTTAAAACAATTGACAAGACTTAAATTAACGCAAATTTTTGAAATTTGTGTTAATTTTCTTTCAATAAAGACACTAAGCAATTCTTATTAATCTTGCCAAAAGTTTCACAATTTTGCTCTATTTTGGGCAAGATGCACAAAAAGGCAACTTTTCAGGCAACAGAAAAATAAAATAATCGTGAGACCAGTTTACAGAAAACCTTTTGCTTGGTGTATGAATGCCTTCAACTGTATGTAAGCTTTCTATTACCGAGTCTCTTGATATAATGTTATTCCACTGTCGGCAGACCAGGACACAGTTCAGCATTAAATCAACAATGGGCAACTGGCAAAAGATATTTTCCATAATTTCAACAGGCAATTGAGAAAACTCAGTCCCACAATAGTTGAAATCTTCAGATTCATCATCAGATTCAGCGATGTCACCTCCAACAAGACCATAATTTGTGGAACTTGCTGAAGACTGCTTTTTGTTTTGTCTTGAACTCTTACATGTGGTTGAGACTGATGATAAGGAAGGTGAAGAAGATGAAGAACTACCTCTTGCACTCAACCAATCACTAGAGCTGGATGTTGGTGAATCAGCACTACATGATGTGCTTTCCAGTTTGACTGGTCCTCGACTATTTGCAGCCTTTCGAGTATAGCAAGCAATTTCCTCTACTTCACAATTCCTTTCTTCACTTTGAACAGCTTTCTTCCTACGAATCACACTTACTATAGAACAGTCACTATCACTTGAATTCTCTCCATTCTCACTGTCTAGTAAAATAACTGGAATTGTACACTGTTTCTGGACCTTTCGATTTTTTGCATTTGTTGTTTTTCGTTCGCGATTTCGCCTGACCTTTCCTGTAACCTTACTTGAGGACTCTGACGTGGATGACGTCGAACTCGCAGATGATGAAGACGACATTGCTATTATTGAAACATGTGTTGTGCCATAAACAGGCGTTGTTCTTTCGCCTGAAGAGAACGCCAAATCCTCTCTGTAGCTGTTGTCAGCTGCAGACGTTTCAGAAGTTGTCGAGTTCCAAGAAATTGGCGAATTCAAACTCTTAGAATGAAACGACAAAAACTGTTCCTTTTTGACGCTTGAACAGCACTTAGTTGCTTGCTCATACAATCTTGCCGCTGTGATAAAACCCGAATTTCCAAGAGGGAACGTAATTTGATCCCTGCAACTAGCAGTTCCCAAGTTTTCTTTCGGCCCTGTTCCTTCACGTGAATGGGGATTCCGTTCAAATTTGGGTTCTTTCGCAGGCCTTACAACAAAATTCACGTCTTCTTTAGAGATGCCACTCCTTGGAGTAAAGAAGTGGGAAATATTTTTTTGATGTGGAGGTAAAATACTCTTGCGTCGCTTTTTTCGGGGAGAGAAATTTTGAGCCATGAAGATTTAACGGAAAGGCCATCCGTTGGCCGCCATGACAGTCTCATGAAAAGAGCTCGTTCCAGACTTCCCGGTAAGCTCTAAATCGAGCGGGGAGGGGGGGAAGGAAGGAACCATTTAAAATGAAGGTCATCGAACAACAATATTTTTCAATACTTAAACAGAACTAGACATATTACCGTGTTTAACTGTTAAATGAGTAAACCACTTCGCAGTCTAGAAACACCGTTTTCTTTTCTTTTCTTTTTTTTCTTCCTCTCGGTTTTTTATTGTTATTTATGTACAGACATCCACCCGGAAGGGCACTTTGGTAGCCAAAATGGCGGAAGAAGAAGACGAAATTTCGAGCGGGAATAATTATGAGGATTTTCTCGAATACCCTACCCCTCTACGCCTCGTACAGCGCAACAGACGCGAAGAGTTTATCAGAATGGTTGAATCTAGCACAGATCGTAAAGCAATTTTGAACTGCGTTCATTTGAAATCCGGTGACACACCGCTCATCGTCGCATCGCGCCATGGACACATTGACTTGCTAAAGTTCTTGATTTCTTGTGGAGTTGATATTGAGCAGCGCAGCAAAGACTTGAAAAGAGCTTTGCATGAAGCAGCTGCTGGGTCACACCTAGAGTGTACCAAGCTTCTCATTTCTAATAACGCGGAGGTTGATTGTTTGAAAAGAGCAGACTGGTAATGACATGTACATGGCATATGCTATTAATCAATTCAATTACTATTATTATTCATTCAAAATATTTCCCCGATTCTGATTGGCTAAAAGCACACGCATAATTCACCATAACCAGCTTCTGATGACAAAATTTGGAAGAGTTTTGCTATTAATCAACCGATGACGTCAAAAGAGCAGCTTCTTTGGAGGTTAATGCACTGTTAACCAAGAAGACCCTGGGACGAGGTTGAGTTGTTTTGGTTGTAAAAACAAAAATGGAGGATATTTCAGTCATTTCAAGAGTAAGAATTAGTAAGAAATAATAGCTAAAAACATGGCAAGAACAGCAAGAAGACAACTCGATTTTAGGGCGTTATCTGCTAATTGGAGAATATTTGCGGAGCTGAACAACCCTAAACATGCACCATCAAAGATGAACTTAACATTGATGGAGTTAAGCATGTTTCAGCTATGTTTTTAAACTAGGAATTATTTTAAATGAATCATAAAACAATTATTAAATTCGGCTTTCCTATCATCTGAAGAATTATGGAGATCTCGGAGGATATTATCTGTCGAGGCCGATAACACCCTCCTCGATCTCCATAATTCATCAAAAGATACTTGGCCTCATTCATTAATTGTTCAATAACCGCACTATTGTTATAGAACTGTTATTATCAGTTTTAGCCCCCACTCCCTCTCAGAACAAAAGTAGATGTTTCTAAGAGATCAGGTACCAATAACACTGACCCCTCTCCTCTCCTGCCAGGATTTCCTTTGCCTTCAATTGGGGGTGGGAGGAGGGTGTGGGGATTAGATGGAATGGTTGCCAGACATTGCCTATCTTTGCCTGGGTTCAGAGGCGTGAGCTTTTGAAAAGCTAAGGGAAGAGAGAGGTAGGCTGTTATTTTTGTGCTCAGTTTTCTTGCTGCCAAAGCTTCTGTATTTGGACCCAGATTTAGAGCTTAATGCTTTTGCATTCCTAATAATAGCCCCTTAAGTGGTAGTGACATGAATGAATTAATTTTTTCTACATTTCATTTTACTTTATTTTTATTATTTTACTCATCTGTCAGTATAGGACCCCACTAATGTTGTCTTGTGCAAAAAGCAATCTTGATGTCATCAGAGTGTTGGTCCAGAATGGTGCAAATCTGAGACTTAGAAACAAAGATGGCTGGAACTGTTTTCATATAGCTGCAAGGGAGGGGCAAACAAATATCTTGAATTATCTGCTTGACAGTTGCACAGACATATGGAATAGCTGTAGCAAGAATGGACGGACACCACTTCATACAGCAGGTGGTTAAAGTCTGAAGCACTGATATAAATATAAGATACTAATTCTCCTTACTGGCATCTGCATTATTTCTTGTTGCAATAGTTCAGACGGAGACACTATTGATTGATTATTGAAGTCTAATCACAAAGTGCACCTGGTAATTTTCTCAAGAGTTATAATTACAGATCCCCTCCCCTCCCCTCAGAAAAAAAATTGGAGAGGCAGCCCCTTCTCCAATTTTTTTCTTCTAAGGGGAGTGGGGGGGGGGGGTCTGTGCAGCACAGACTAGACAGTGTTCATTTGATCATGTGCTGTTTATCGGGGTGTAGTGATTGAGTTTTATCCACGATTTTAAATTTTCTTTGGTAATGCAGAGCCCATGAAAAATTGAACCCCAAAGTAATGATGATAATAAAAAACTCATGGCTTAGAATAACCTACATGTAGACGAGCAAGAGATCCTGTAGAAATCTTTTTCCAGTATTTTAACCCATTCTGTAAAATGTTGAATTTCAGCTCTCCATGGTAAAGCAGATGCTGTTAATCTTTTGCTTTCAAGGTAAAACTGAAGTTCCACGTGTAAAAGTATTTTAGAATTGACTTTTGTTAGTAGCTTATTTTGACCATGCACATGATCATGGAGGACTATCAAACTCCCAAAAACAAGCAGTCATCACTTTATTTGATAAAAAGGGTCAGGAGCTAATTGAAACATTTATGGTAATGTCATCATAGACCAACGACTCTCACCCCTAAAGCTAGAGTTGCCAAGAATGTAACTATTATTTTTATTGGTCCATTGGGATGAGATACACAGTTTGTTTTCTTTGAGTCTTGTTGTAATCTGGTGAGATGAATTTCTGGAAAACATGAAGACTCGTTTTTCAAGAGGCCAGAAGTTAATTGCTTCATCATTAAAGTTCAGTATAAGGTACAAGACTAACTAACTGGTGTTTCTTTTATGTGTTCCTGTCTGTAGATGTGGTTTTACAATGGACTCGCCTGACTGCTGTGGTTCCACACCCTTAATGGATGCACTCCGTACAGGTCATGTACAGATAGCAGAAACTCTCATCAAGACATACAAGGTAGACAATTCTATACAGTGGATTAGTAATAAAACTTCTCTTGAAATGAAATAAATATCCTGCTAAAATCAAATGGGCAATTTCTCTGTTTTATATCAATGTCCAGGTTTATGTTCAAGAATTATATACTAGTGCTTCCATTAACTCTCTCTAAGATGGGTACAATTCAAAGTAGCCAGTCCCATGTGAAAAAAACTAGCCAGTCCCAAGTTTTACTTGGCACTTGGTACTTGAAAACTTTTGTTGCGCCTTTTCTCCCAACCCGACTGACTGCCCCTTGTTCTCCGAGGATGAGGTGCCATTAACCCTTGAAAGTCCTCATATCCACGTACAAGTTCGATGGCGGATCCAGACCTCCAGATAACGGAAGGGGGGGGGGTGGTCATCCAGACCCTGAGATAGGGGAGGGGGCAGTCTCAAAAAAAATTTTTTTTCAGCCCTTTGGGCCTCAGTTTGGTCTAAAAAGCTCCTCGGGGTGTACATTTCCTCAGACCTCAGCTGGTCGACTCATTGCGACTATATAATAAAGAAATCAAATCGCCGCCTTTATGCTCTAAGAAAACTGAAAGCTTGTGGGGTGCAAGATGGGGAGTTGGTGGCTGTGTATTGCTCCCTACTAAGATCTGTTCTAGAGTATGCATCGGTAGTTTTTGCAGATTTACCGCAGTATCTCTGCATGGCTTTAGAAAGAGTGCAAAAGAGAGCCCTACGAATCATCTTTGGTCCTGACTTGAGCTACGAGGACACCCTCGCGCGTTCCGGGCTTCTGTCTCTACAGGCCAGACGCCACCTGGCGTGCAAGAAATTTGTGACGGAAACTATGCACGGTAGCCCGCTTTACCGCCTAATATCCAGCAGGGTCATCTCGTCACAAACCTCGTATTCACTGAGGTCAGGACCATCATGCCATGTGTTACCCGGCCGAACTGACCGGTTCTCAGAATTCGTGTCAGTTAAATATTCGCCGTATATCGATTGTGTGTAATAATGTGTATGCGATTTCTACCATGTTACTACTTTATTATATTTATGTTGTTATATTTATATATTTATATGTATAACTGAATGTTTGTAAGTCTTTGCCTGACCCTACCTGTAATTCAGAGAAATCTGCGAATGGTGGAAATAAACAAATATTATTATTATTATTAAAATAAGGGGGGGAGGCCTCCTCTGGATCCACCACTGAAATTCTTTGCATTGAACTCCATACATTTCCTTGAAGAATTATAAAAGATCGAAGCATTTCTCCTCTGGTTACCATTTTATCAATTCCCATAACCTTTCCTCTTGATCATGTACTGATTTTGTTAGGAGAAAATTGATGTTGGTCACTCTTGGGACTCAGTGCAAATCACAGTTTCACACTTGATAAATTTATCTCTCATGTGAAGAATCAACCTTGTTCCCAGGGTTCTCTTCTGCTCACAACTCTTCATCATCATTCTTATCACCCTATGAAAGGTCATCCAAGACAGTATTGGAACTGGATTCCTTGCTGTGTATTTGGGATTTCAGGTACCGGAGTCCAGACTCCTTGTCAGTTGAAATTCTGGATTCTAGTGGTTAGCGGGATTCCGGATTTCTTGAGCTGAATTCTGAATTCCCTCTTCTACTCGGAACTCTTCATCACCTTCCTTATCACCCTACAAAAGGTCATCCAAGACAGTCTTGGAGTTGGATTACTTGCTATGTATTCAGGATTCCAGGCAGGGGCGTAGCCACCCTGTAGACCTGTATGCTCAAGCTTACAAATTTTTGGTTTGATCACTCTACCACTCGTAATGAATAATGCATTGTTGGGGTGAGCTAAAAAGCTTAAGAGCTCATAGTGTTGATAAGGTCAGTGCGTACTAATCAAGCATGCAATTTTCAGGATATTGAATGAAAGTCAGCCAGGCCTACAACTAGTCGAAAGGCTGGCTTCGCCCCTGCCAGATAATGGCTTCGGGATTCCTTGTCAGTTGAATTCTGAATTCCCAAGTCCAGGATTCGGAATTCTGGAAACAAAAATTTCCACATCCGCAATCCAGATTGTTTTACGCGGGTCATATCTTATTTTTTGTTGCTGTTATGTATCTGTTTATTTATATATTTATTTATTTATTCATCTGTTCGTTCATTCGCTAATTTATTTTTATTTTCAGGCATCAGTAAACGCAACAGATCAGCTTGGCAGACAGGCTATTCACCTAGCAGCTCAAGCCGGTTGTATTTCCTCACTAGAATACCTGATTACATACCATGGTGTGGATGTAAACGTGTGTACTGGGAAGTCTCAAATGATTCCTTTACACCTGGCAGCTAAGGTACATGTTTGATGCTGCTTAACATCGCTCACAGTGTAAACTGTTGCAGATTTACAATTTTTAAACTCATTCCCCACCATCTGAACGCGGCACTGTACTAGCTGAACACCTGGAACAGGCTACTGAATATGTTAGAGCGCTGATCTGCAGAATGGTAGATCACGGGTTCAGTCTCTGTGGTTACACAAATACTTAGCATGAGGGTCTCATAATAACTAAGTTCAAATTTCATGTCGAATGTTCACGCCCTTACCTATTTAAATTGGATTCCAATGGCATTGTGTACCCATGGGTTCTTTCTGTAGGTAATGAGTCACAGTTCACGTACAACAAAAGAAACAGTGCAACCAAACAATAAAGGCCCCAGGAAAACTCTATTGTTTGTTTTTTTTTTGTTTCGTTTGTGATGACAGTACCTGCATGAAGATCTTATTTTTACTTTCCTGACAGGAAGGCCATGCACAAACCCTCCAGTATTTACTGGACAAAGGAGCTGTTATTAATAAACAGGACAAGAATGGGAGAACAGGTAAAATAATATTCGACTGTTCCTACCATTTGGATTAAGACTTCACAGCAAAACATTGCTTTGTTGCTGACCGAGACATTGCTTTTTGCCATTATTTTTGTCTCCCAGCTCTTCATCTTAGTTCAGCCGCTGGTCACGAAGTCTGTGTGGACATTCTGTTGCGGGTGCATAACGTCGATAGGGGCATCAAGGACTGCTTTGGAAAGACGGCCAAGGAACTTGCTCTTAAGCCCTCAGTCCGAGACATATTTGATAAGGATAGAACTGTAGCATAATAGCATGAGCACTCACCACTCTAATGTCCAACCAGATGTCGGGCGAAACGATTTAAGTAAAAGTTCAGTGAATGGGTGGACTAGAGAAGCGCGAAGCATCGTGGGAAGGAGGAAGACCACAGGCCTCCCACCTTGGTTTGTGTGTAGTTACCTTGCGATAGAGACGTGGGTACAAGGCAAATTCTCAGAGGAATTTGAAAAAGCCGCTAAGCCATATATGTATACCTTATGAAAAGCGGCGTCATGTGTTTAAAGTTAAATAAAAGCTTCTACTGCCCACACGGAAAGATAAATTAAATGTGAATAACACAAGCTTTAAAATAAAAGGCAGCGTCAAACCACGTTAATGCGGACATTAACGGGGCTCTCGAAAGTGTCCGTATTAAGCGGGTCATGTTATTTAATAAAGGATGAACTTATTATTGTACTGGGCCCAGTTGTTCGAATGCCGGTTAGCACTAACCCGGGGTTAAATTTTAACCCGGCTTTCTTTTTCTTGTTATCAAAAACACTCTCTCGGATAATTTTCCCTATTCCATTTAGAGTATCCAGTCATCACATCGTAGGCAAAAAGAATTAAAGTGAATGTGAATTTTAAGCTCTAATATCTGAGTTCAAAGTTCGCACTAACCCTGGGTTATCTTAACCCAGCTTCGAACAACCCGGCCCAGGGGCCCGTTTCTCGAAAGTCCCGGTTACTTTACGGGCCCGAAATCAAAAATTCAAATCGAAATATAAAGAATAAGAGCGCGGGTCTTGGCTAGCAAACTACTCCATTTAGTTTCATTAACTGACAGTTTTATCATGTTAGATGCAAAACTATTGAAACCTCGATCTTTAATGTAAACGGAGACAGCTTACCGGGCCCGTTAATTATCGGGACTTTCGNTCGGATAATTTTCCCTATTCCATTTAGAGTATCCAGTCATCACATCGTAGGCAAAAAGAATTAAAGTGAATGTGAATTTTAAGCTCTAATATCTGAGTTCAAAGTTCGCACTAACCCTGGGTTATCTTAACCCAGCTTCGAACAACCCGGCCCAGGGGCCCGTTTCTCGAAAGTCCCGGTTACTTTACGGGCCCGAAATCAAAAATTCAAATCGAAATATAAAGAATAAGAGCGCGGGTCTTGGCTAGCAAACTACTCCATTTAGTTTCATTAACTGACAGTTTTATCATGTTAGATGCAAAACTATTGAAACCTCGATCTTTAATGTAAACGGAGACAGCTTACCGGGCCCGTTAATTATCGGGACTTTCGAGAAACAGGCCCCAGAATACTAAATATTAAAGTAACGCAGCGGGGACATTGACTTCGTCGTCAATCAAAACATCTCTGACCTCCACAAAGTCGTCCGAAGTTAATGGACTAAGTCCAAAGAAACACTCAAAGTCGCTAATTTTTACCTTACCTAATAAAAACTCGTTCTCTGCATAACTCGTTTGAAGTATATTTTAGCACACAGCTGAAAATGAAGTACCCTCATTAGCGAGGTTGAATTTCTATGAGAATCTGTTCATCGGGCAAGAAACAAGTGTCCGTTGTCTGCATTAACTGGTGCCCGTGTTAAGCGGGTGAATTAGGAGAAAATTTAAGGCCGGGCTTTCCCCAGGGATAAAGAAAACTGTCCGTAATAACGAGGAGTCCGTATAAAGAGGGTGTACGTATGGCGGGGTTAGAATGTACCGATAGATAGGATAAGTAATGAAGGTAGTAGGTAAATAAATGCACATTGAATTGTATCTTGATTGAAAAATAAGTCAAACGTGTGAAAATCATTAAAAGGTCCCAGAAATTCGCACGTTACACACGAAGTTTAAGGATTTATGCAATTATTGCTCTTTACAGAGTTTCGTTAATAGGCCCTTTGCAGCCAGTCATTCACGTCATACAAAACCGCCATGCTGGAGAGCAAAGGAAGCACTGGGGCAAGACAAACAAAGAGCTCATATCATTTAAAATTGGAAAAAAAAAAGCGCCTGTTCACCAGTTCATTGTTCTGGCTCTTCCCACGTTCACTTCATGAACGTTGCGGTCCAATTTGCTAATTGATGACACATGATCCTCATCCCCTCGTCTCGCGCGTGTCGCGCTTTGCGCGAAATGCCGCGTTCGCCACGCTTGGCCCATAAAGCGCCTGTTATGCAGGCCACGGTCTATAGTCTTCTTTCTCGAAAGAGAGCTTTGCTTTTACGCTTTGCTGTATATGAGTTTGGAACCCAAAAACTGATCAATCAAGAGATATTTAGTTTTATCTCTAACACTTGCTTTGTTCTTGTGCTATGCCTTCGATGGCAACGATGTCAAATTGGTTTGCCACAAATAACTCACCAGTTCGCAAGTCAAAGCCACCTAGTGTGAGATCATTCTGTTCATTGACTTCTTTATTTTTCCTAAGTCCCAGTCGAATACTTTATATTACTCTGTTTGGTGACGGTGCTACTCTGGCTCAAAAACTCTTCTCAGAAGGCTTAACTTGAAAGCTTATAAACAGAGTAGTCATGAATTATTTTGTCGGTAACTGACTAGATAGAACATTTTCCCATGCGGCTTAACATCGTACAATAATCGGGTCATATTGAAAATAATAATCTTCAGTTTAACATGGAAACTAAGGTTTATGTGAAACATGCAAAGAAAGACTGCTGCTGAGGAAATAACATTTGCATATAAAAGACAATTCCTCGGGTGATTTGCTAGACATATTTTCAACGCGTCTTCCAGATCACCAAGATCTCCTGAAAATGTCAGCCAAAGTACCATTCAGTAAAATTGCGAGAAGAATTGCTTACTTTATTCTGTTTCTAGCATTCGTTACGCTCCTTTACTATGAAACTCGAGTTATAATGGAATCAAGTGCTCTAGGATTTGGAAGAAGCTATGAAGGTAAAGAATTACTTGGAACTGCGTTTTGTATGTGACACGTTCCCTGAACAAATTACCCAAATTGTATTAAAACGCTAACACTTCTTTAATTTCAAGCTGTTATTGCGAGATTTTTAAGGCGGCTCGACGAAGCCATTCCGGCATGATGCTATGGTAAAGTTTTTGAGTTTCGTTTTTCGCTAGGAAAGATTTAACCGATATCTATGATTTTTGGTGTCCTATATAAATGAAGAATGGTGGAACTTTTCAAAACTACTAATTTTCTTTCAATTGATATATTAGCCTATCTAACACATTATTTTCACACCTGAAAAATAGTTCCAATAGCCCTTACGTTATGTGTATTCGCAAAAGTTGAAGACAAACATGATCATAAAACTGACTCGGCACAAAATACTGCTCAAATTTAATCGTAAAATGCTATGCTAACACATTAATTTTTTTGTGTTGAGTCAGTAAAGCACTGCAAATAGCGTGCGTACGGTAAGAGTTAGGCCATGTCCAAATTCTAAAAGGGTTTTCTTACCCAAAGGTTTTTTGAAAGAAACCGAGTAATAAGACACTCCGCTTAAAATTATTTCAAATTCAAATGAAACTAAATTAGATTAAAATCGATCCTAAAATAAAATTAAATAAACATCTATTGGTTATAGAGGCTATTAAAAGGCAGACATCCCGGAGAAAGATCATGGAGCAATACTGTCAGACGAATTCGTACGAGAAGGAACCTCGAGTCAGTCGCGAGAATTTGGGGTACATCACTGTAAATGACGAATACAAGTTCATATACTGCACAATTCCGAAGGTCGGCACTACCACTTGGAAAAAAGTTTTCGCTGAACTGCGAGGCCTAAGACACAACGTAAAGGTACACATACTAGAAAACCCACAATTAGGCCATAGGTTTTTATGTTCTCTTGGTTTTATTGGTCACCTATTCTTGTGGCCATATGCAAGGGCACAAACGCCTTCAATATAATGTATACATTTTGCCTAATCAAGGTCTAATCCCCGGGAGGGGTACTGCCATATATGGGCTATATAGGTATGTGCCGCTGTGAATAAAATTGCACAGATGCTGGCCACGTGAGTGAATACGCTTTATTGTTATACCACAGGTAACCCAGGCTCTGTGATAGTACCACAGTACGGTTCAAGTAAAATTACAGTGTTTGTATGGGGTAAAAATACCATCCTAAAATTTCGAGGAAATACTAAATAAAGATCAATGAAACTTACTCTGCAGTTAATTTTTGAATTTCAATGAAACTTACTCTGCATTTAATTGTTGAATTTCGCGTGCAGAATCCGTCACAAAAACAAAGAAATTTGAGCACATAACAAGTGCGTTACGCGAGATCAAATGGCTACCAGTAAATGAGCATCTCCACTACAGAGACACTGTAATGACGTTTAGGTGCATGAAGGGTGGCTTTGGGCAAATGATGTATCGGTCCCCAGAAAGGTCACCTCAGGACTCACGGGATGATTCTTTTTGTACAGTGCCCAGGCCTCATTTCCCTGGCCGCGCGTTGATCTGGCCTGGCTGCTTCGGCGAGCATATTCTCCGTCCGTTTGGATTATATCCTTCGAGTTTGTCAAAGTCTGTGGGATTCGTTTCTCTATCTGGGAAAGCTTCATTGGTTTCTTTATCTGCTGCTATCCTATTTCTACGATCCTGGCATGTTTATTTTCCGTTGGAGTTCGAATTTCGCGGAAAACGTTGTGTTGATTGAGAGCATGTCGGCGAAAATGGCATCTCGTGTTTCCTACCTTGTATATTATTATTGTATATAGAGTGAATTTGAACAAATTACTGCAAATTATCACGAAACTTCGTTGGAGCAATAAGGACAACAATAATTAACTGCAGAGTAAGTTTCATTGATCTTTATTTAGTATTTCCTAGAAATTTTAGGATGGTATTTTTACCCCATACAAACACTGTAATTTTACTGGAACCGTACTGTGGTACTATCACAGAGCCTGGGTTACCTGTGGTTATACAGGCTATTTCGAGAAAGGTTGTCGGAAAAAATGTGCACACGATAATCCCGAAAAGAAATATGGGATATGATCAATACACGCTGCTCCTGACACTGTAGCTGTCGAA